TTCAAATGTTGCTGGATCAACCGGTGCTAAAGGATCATATATTACTGGTGAAGGTTCAAAATTCTTCCTCATGCACGTTGTTCCATTGTCTCCAATGTGAGGAAAAACTGGTGCTGAAGGAGCATTATCAGCGATAAATGCACACCAGTCTCAGATAACTGAATAATTTTATCCCGGTATTGCTTTATTCTTTCGGATCTGATCCTATCCTCTTTCTCCACATCAGACTCCGGAAGCACTTCGTTTTGTGATGCGAAAAATTCGTCAGTAATATCCGCAAGCTCACTGTCGGCTTGAATCTGTTTCGGCTGAGGTACAGCTACTGCTATTAAACCGCGACGCGTCACCCTTTTTGGGACATCTTTCTTTAACTCATCCTTCTCAACCTTCTTGAAATCAGCATTCTCTTTCCTCTTTAACTCAGCCTCCTTCTTTTCTTCAGCCTTCCGTTTCCTATTCTCAGCCGCCTTTTTTCTCCTTAACTCAGCCGCCGTTTCGCTCTTCTTAGGAGATGCCTCCTTCTTTCATAACTCAGCTGCGTCGTTCTTTTTAGGAGACGCCTCCTTCTTTGCAAAATCATCCGTCTCGTTCTTCTTTGCTAACTCAGCCACCTCCTTCTTCTTTTCTAACTCAGCCGCCTCGTTCTTCTTTGCTAACTCAGCCTTCTTCTTCTTTGCTAACTCAACCGCCTCCTTCTTTGCTAACTCATCTCCTTTTAGTTTTAACCTTACCTTGTTTCCGCGTCCTAAGGCTGGGGACATTGCAGGAAAAATACCAATGAAATCAACGTCGTCAACCAAATTCTTGTCCACGGCCTTAGCGGGTGTACTATTGACAGAGGCCTTAGCAGGTGGACTATTGACTGAGTGCTGCGGATTAGACTTCGGCGGTGGCGGTGATGGTGATGGAAAATTTAAAGATGGTTCGGGAACTTTAGAGAAGTACTCCTCCACTACAACTCTGTTTAAATCAACAATGTTTGTATCGCTGGACTCAATATCTCTGGACTCGATTCTGGATAACCGCGCTTCAAAGTTTTCGAATCTGTTCTCGTAGCTGTCTATTCTTGAGGTAATTCTATCCTGAGTATACATTATACTCAACACTATCTGATTGTTCCCAATATCATCCATACCTTCCTCCACAACAGTTTCATCCTCTTGGAAGCTGCTCACTTTCTTCTGCTTCTTAATGGGTGGCTCAGCCTTTGACGAAACACCAGCCTTTGTTTGTTTTTGTTTCATCTGCGTTCCCCAAAAACCTCTAACAAACCGACCTGTATATATGTCTGTTATCAAGTTAACGAGTTGCGGGTCATCTGCTTCATCCGGCCACTGAGGAAACATCTCTTCTATGGAGTCCTTCATAACCATTTTTCTCACGCGCACCTACAAAACCAGTCACCAAATACATAATAACTCAGCCATCAAAGTACTAATCACTCAGCCGTTAAAACTAATAACTCATCCATAAAATAACTAATAACTCAGCCACAAATTATCAAAACCCAGCCATAAAATAACTAATAACTATGCCACAAAGTACCAAAACCCAGCCACAATCTCAACCATCAAATAACTAATACCAAAAAACTCAGCCATTATATACATACTAACTCAGCCATCAAATAACTAAAACCAAGAGGCTGAGATAGTGTTTATATGGTGGCTGCGTTTTTTGTGCTTTAATACTAGGGAATTTTGATGTGTTCATAAAACAACTAATAACTCAGCCACAAAGTACCAAAAACCCAGCCACCATATAAACACTATCTCAGCCATCAGATAACTAGTACCAAAAACCCATCCACTATATACATACTAACTCAGCCATCAAATACCAAAAAACCCAGCCTCACCTCGCCATGTTCTCTAATCTCCTCAGTAATGACAGTATTAAAACTTGAACTTGTACGCTTTTCACCCCATCGAAAAAGTGGAACTCCTTGCTCATTGACCACTCTCCCAAAACGCTCTCCAAAACAAGTGATAGATTCATACGCCCAAACCAATAACACGTCCTTCAGACCGCTTATGGTGTATGTCCTTCCTTGTGGATTCAACATCTTGATAGAGTCAATAAGAACTTCATATGCAGTCCGACCCAATGGATATGTCATCATGGCTTCATCGTCGAATACTCTTTTTGCACTTTCAAACGATATCCTAAAATTATGATGCAAAGCATAAAGTCCCATGGCTTGAAGAAGTAACAGCCCTAACCATTTATGCTTTTCAAAACTCCAGGCCGGACATACCTCTAATGCTGCCCTCAGTTCATCTAACTTGGGTCCCACCCCAAGCGGCAGATTCAACTCCTCCCAAAACGCTCTCTATTGGTCATGTTCAAAACTTTCTGTTGGTACTAGATCTATGTTTAACCCAGTGATCTCACCAAATTCGTGTAAGCTAAACCTGATAGGTTCATCACCAACTAGACTCCAAATCTCCTTCTTGTATACTCGAAACTGTCGACATAGTAGATAGTGGACGGTCCTACCAGACCACACGCTTTTACGTTCAGCTAGCTTAACAATAATTCCAAGAGGACCCTGCCTCATGTGATCCCACACATCCCGTCCTATTTCTTCTCTGACGTTAGGGAAATCTCCCATCTTCAAATTGTAATTAATCTCTTTATTTTCTAGATTAGAAGCCCCTTCAGCGTAAAGTCGTGGAGGGTAATCATGTGCTTGATCTTCAGAAATAGCCATCTGATCCTAAAACACAAATATATAAATCAGTCGTAAAAGAAAGAAAACTCAGTCACAACATAGTAAAACTCAGCCATAATACAACAAACTCAGCCACTACATAATAAATAACTCAGCTGTAATAGAAACAAAACTCAGCCAAAACATAATAAATAACTTAGTCGCTATAGAAACAAAACTCAGCCACAACATAATAAATAACTCAGCCATAATAGAAACAAAACTCAGCCACAACATAGTATGACTGAGCCGTAATACAACAAACTCAGCCACAACATAATACACAACTCAGCCACAACATAATCAATAACTCAGCCGCAATAGATCACAACCTACATCAAACTCAACTCAGCCACACTATACAATAACTCAATTACAACATAATCTATAACTCAGCCACGTCGTAAATCAAACTCGGTCACAATATAAATCAAACTCAGCCACAACATACCATAGAAGATGATACGATTGCGTCGAAACTTTTGCGGAGAAGAGGATGTCGACGAAGATCATATCGGAGACGGTTATGGTTTAATGAGGGCGACGAAGATGATAGAGATGATTTACGATATCGGAAACAGTTCGATACGAGAGTATTAGTTGTGACGAAGATGATTTCGTGATTTCGTATTCGGTTAGGGTTTAACTAAAGTTGTGACGAAGAAGACTTTTTTTTTTACTCACCGGAGATATGGGACTGTTGATTTTTCAGAGTAACTGTTGATGACACAAATTAGTGACGTGGATTACCTAATTATGATGTGGATTTAATAATTAAAATTTGTATCAATAGTAACAAAATTAAACAAGGGTGTTTATTGTAATTTACTAGGAGTCTGGAAACATTCTAGTAATTTTTAGAAAATGTATATTATTCTAGTCATATACAAGCTTTTGTGTATCATTCAAGTAATTTTCTCTTTTCTTTTTATTGTAATGTTTATTTCATAATTTAAATTTATTCTGGTGAAGACTTTGGGTTTAAGAGGTTATTAATCTCAAATCACAAACCATGTGAGCTTTTTAGCAGAATGTATTCAATCTAAAGTTTGAGGTGATTTTATTTTTTGATGTGGTTGTAGATAATTTTAAGGAATTGAAGAATTTAAAGTGATTTTTGTTAAAACACCTTAGAATATAATTTAAAACCGTGAGATTTATGTTTTATTTATTTTTAACTAAGAAACTTCAGTTAAACATTCTAAATTCACTTGAAAATTTCAAATTTTTATAACTTAAAATATTTTCACTAACAAATGATTTTATAGTACTTTATGAAATGTCAAGTACATTAACAATGAAATTTAAATGAGTTTTTAAAATTTTATATTTGAATAACAGTGAATTTTTCATTTTAGTACAAATCACCTAAAATTTTAAGTTGAATACGCCCCTCCCATTAGAGTTGTATAAGAGAGATAGAGAGTTCATTTATTTGTTTATTAGTAAAAGTTTTAGAATTTGTGTTACAGATGGTTTCAAACGTTCACAGAGAAGAAAATATTCACTTTAATGTGACAATAAAGTGAAATAATATACAAAAAAATTTATATCTGAATTAAACAATGTCATCTTAGATCATTTTTTCTTGTAGGCAGGCCGAAGATAAATGTTTCTTGTAGGTGATTTTATTTTTGATGTAGTTGTAGATAATTTTAAGGAATTGAAGAGTTTTACGCGATTTTTGTTAAAACACCTTAGAATATAACTTAAAACCATGAGATTTATGTTTTATTTATTTTTAACTAAGAAAATTCAGTCAAACATTCTAAATTCAGTTGAAAATTTTAACACTTCATAACTTGAAATATTTTCAATAACAATGGAGAGTACTTTATGAAATGTCAAGTACATTAACAATGGATTTTGAAAGAGTTTTAAAAAATTATATTTGAATAGCAATGCGTTTGTCATTTTAGTACAAATCACCTAAATTTTTTAGTTGAATACACTCCTCCCATTAGAGTTGTATAAGAGATATAGAGATTTCATTTAATTGTTTATTAGTAATAGTTTTAGAATTTTCGTTTCATATAGTTTCAAACGTTCCCTAAGAAAAGAAAATACTCATTTTAATGTGACAATAAATTGAAATAATATAAAAACATTTTATATCTGAATTATGCAATGTCATCATAAATACTCTTTTCTTGTAAGCAGGCCGAAGATAAATGTTTTAAAATTATATATATTTATAATTTTATGTAAAATAGTTAATAATTGTAAATCATAAATTTCAAGAAAAAAATTATACTTCTTCAAATACTATTGGCTTAAATTATGGAAAATGCCTAAACACAAAAATTATGCATGGAAAATACTACTGGTTACTTATTCAATTAAAATAATTTAAATTCTTTCATTCAATCTTATATATTAAAGCAGAAGTCATGAATTGACTTCATGTGTGATATTTAAATTTTGGACCTATTCCTATAAAGGGGAGTTAAATTACATTTTTCAATCATTAATAATCTTGATATTAAATAAGAGACATCTTTATATATAAAGAAGAGGTGTACTCTCTTCTCCTTCCCCCACCTCAGCAAATGACGTCATAAATCAGATAAAGAGAGCATAACACGTGTCTCCCTTACAAAACATAAACTTCGCTTTTGTTTGATTTTTAACGGGCCTGCGTCGTAGTCTCCAAGAACCTGATTTGGGCTACAAAATAAACAAATTTTTAAGCTCCATTAGTCACTTCTATCCTCTTCGCGAATAGTCGTCGTTCTTCTCATAGGTTCATCATCTTTGAAAGGTTTTGTGAAATAAGTCTTTGTGAGTAATATTTGCATCGATCTCTATTCGTATCCTTTCCCTTACAAGTCTTCGATTGAAACGTTACGTAATTAGTCGAATTCGAAGGGTCACCTTCAACGGGCTCATTAACCAATTGTTCTTCACTCCTCTCACGATCTGACATTGAATGCATCTCCCTTTACTGTTTACTCAGAATTTGCGACTATAAAAAGGCAATTCCTATGCTGTGAATTTTATCAGTTCTATCATTTCAATCATGAGCTTCCAAAATTCTCTGTGATAACGACGATGATGTAGATTTCGAATTTTGTTAATTGGTTTTGTTTCAGTTTGTGCCTTTTATTTTATTATCAACATTTATTTCTAAAGCTTTTGTTTATGGGACAAACATTATTTCAGAAGCTTTCGTTTACGGGAGAAGATTCAACTTCGATTATATTTGCAGATTTTGTTTCAGTTTGTTCATGTATTCATTATCAAAAAATTTATTCAAAGCTTTTGTTTCTGGGAGGTGATTTTGATTATCAAAAAGTTTTATTCAAAAAGCTTTTCTTTTCGTGAAGATGATTTTGAATTTGTTGGTTGATTTTGTTTCCAACACAAGATTAGTTTTTCTATTGATGGGTTTGCTAAACGTCTTCTCTTGAATCTTTACCTTCAACGATCTACAAAACCTTCAACACTGCAATTCATTATTTTTGATATTAAACGGGTTTTCTATACATAACCATCCACATTGCTGTTTTTTTTTTTTGTATATTTAACAATTTACCCTTACTTTCAGGTTGAGGAGGATAGGGAGGAGTACACTGGTATTAGAAGCGGTGGTGATAAAGAAATTATTGATCTGAAACCTGAGCCAAATCTAAAGAGGTTAAATCAGATGAAGAGATTACAAGTGAAAAAAAAAAAAGCAAAGTTTAATCTGAAACTAAAGGCTTTAAGCTGGGAAGGAGATGAAATGATTGAAACGGTCCAGAAAAAAAGGTAACAAAGTCTCTGGATATCCGCTATGTTTGATAAGATTATCATGCATGTTCAATGTCCAGAAACAAGTTGAGGCAAGTAATGAAACCATGAAAGTAATGAAACCATGAAAGTAATGAAACCAAGATTCTCTGTCTCACCATTTTCTTCAAATATTAACAATCTATCTGGTGAGGAAATCACATTTTCGATTGGAGATCCCTTTAGATGTTTTGATGTTATTACCATGAGACTTTGTATTTTGTTATTCAGATTTTGATGTTGTGTGCTTCTACTTGCTGTATTCCAGGGTACTGTGAAACTTCCTTTCATTGAGGAGTAATTGCTAGCTGGTACAAGGATTACTGCATAACTTATGGTCAAAACCGCATATTTCCATGGAACTATAAATCTTTGTGAAAGATAAATTCTTGGACCATGTTGTTTTTGTTAGATATCAAGATTGCTTTAGCTTTCAGTTTTATACAACTTAGCCTTACTTGGAAGTAAGTAGCTAATAACCTGATCAACCAACTTGATCCGAATGTTAATTTGTACATTCTAAAACTTGGTCTTCACTATAAAAAAAAATAAAATGTCTGGAAAATGTAAAACTAAAACTTTGCACAAAAAAAAATATAAATCGTAACAAAGCATATAATGATGTTTCAACAGCCCATGGCGAGGTGAGGCAGCAAGGTGAGGCTACGAGTGTCGTAGTTTAACAACAAACAGATTGAAGCATTATCAAATGGTAAAGATAGAAAATCTGAGATGCAGGTTTGTGTTTCTAATCACGGCAAAAGTTTTAGACTTCTTACTATAGCATGGATACGGGATTTGGAAGGTAATCAGTTACGTAGGAAGTATATATGAAGGCCACTCTACACCAGTATAGTTTCTTGGCAGTTGACGATATTTGTATGTTTTTAATTATTGCTCTATAGGAAATACATGGGGAAGATCTAGATGATTCGAATGTGGCATTGTATTCAGAGTGGAAGGAGCTTTGGGTTATGAAGAGATTTGTTCAGATTCTTCTGGAAACAGAGTGTTATTAGGAGAAAAGCATCAATACATGAAACTTATCAAGTCTTTCACCATGGAAAACAGATTTCTGTCTTGGTTACATAGAGAGAAAATTTTCAGGAAGAACATATGTTTAGCGCCCCTTTTCATCACATTATAATTCATTTTCGAGGCCATTAGTTTTACTGATGGAACAAAAATAATTAACAAGAACTCATGAGATTTTATTAGCCTGCGAGCTCAAAGTTGTAAAATTCCGTAGCTAAGTAAGTTGAAACCTTTAGGTTTTATTTTAAGAGGATAGTGTGAGATGCGAGTAGAATATCTAATAATGGGTTTGGTACACACCTTGCTATCTTTTTATTAACGTATGATTTTTTTTATTATACTGACAATGGCGAAGCCTTTACATGTTAAGCTGGATTTCTGTTTTTAAAAAGGATCAGATGATGGGATTTTGGTTGGGATATTGTCGTATTGTGTTCACTATAATTGTGGGACTAACCTAAAAATTAGCCGTTTCAACATAATACAGATATGCGATATATCCATAAAGATAATTAGCCGTTGATGTATTTATACAGAACCAAAGAGCCAACCAAATCATACCGAACCGAAAATGAAGTTTGGGTTGGGATTTGGATCCTATCAATTATAGTATCTGATCATATATCTTTAAAACGGAACAACTGAAACCGAATCGATAACCGATAATCGAATGTGTACATGAATATTATAATATAGTTTATATATATATTTAATATTAAGTGTATTTAGTATTAAAATAATCAAATAATGTAAAGAAAAAACATAGTATACAACAGTTATACAAGCATATAAAAGTCCGAGATGTACCGTTCCAGAGCTAAACGAAAAGACTGCTCCATTAAAAATAAATAAGTATTAATCACCACAAACAATCTATAACTTAACATTAGGTAATAATTTCCATATATGTCCACTCACCTAAATACATAACTAGTTAGGATGTAACCATTTTCATTACAAGTTACTCTAAGTACTCACTATAAACATGTTTTCACAGCTAAAAGAACATGCTCATCAACAAGACATTGAAATAATTTTAAAAACCGCCTAATGACTTATATTTTACAACAAATAAATTTATATACAAATATATGCTGCAGAAAATAAAATAGAAACATATAATCATTCTTATAGACAAACCCCGTATGTAGCAAATTATAAGAATAATACAAGTATTAGAAAATGTAAAAAAGTTACATAATAAAAATGAATATATTTATTACCTAGATAAATATGTGACCTTTAATAAAAGTAACAAAACTGAATAATAAATATGTTTTAAAATACTTTTTACAAATTAATATGAAACTTCATATATTTATATATAAAGAAATTTTTTTCTCAATACTGAGACTGCCACGTTAGTAAATAGGATCACCAGAATGCGACACGTGACTTGGTCATAATTATCAGATGATAAAATTTATAGTTTTTATTTGCAAATATACTTATAACTTTAAAATTTTAAAGAATTTATATATGATTATGTTAATCAATATTATTATCTATATTCATGTATTTTAGTATTTGTTTTAATATATATAAATTTATTTTAAATAAATATTTAATTTATATATAATTTCTTATTTTAAATAATTAAAACACATTATAATTTATCAAAAAGGTTATCGAAATCAACCTCAATTGTTAATGATATCAATTATTAACATTCTATAAAACAACTACAATAACTTTGACAAAGAATCCTCACAAAAAAAAAGATACAATAGTAGTGGAAATATGGATCTCATCTTCTTTTGACCAAATCTGATTGATCTATATATTTTATAGTGTTATAAAACTGAAAACACTATAAAATTTTAAAATTTAGGATTACAAGAGCAAAATACTAAGAATTTAATAATTTAGTTATATAGTTGAAATTTGTTGTAGACAACAAAATCATATTCATACTCAATCTAACATAAAATGAAATTTACATAAAATTATAGATTTGATTAAAACTGATCCATCAAATCCAGCCCGTAGGGCGAGTCTACCCTAGTTATTAATATAATATGCTTTATACCTTTAAGGATCGGAACTAACTTATCTCACGGTTATGTTTTAAGAAAACTACTATTTCTTTTGGTTTAACGCCAATTTGTATGATTAACATATATTACTTTTTCTTGGACGACACATATATTACTTTTATCATACCCATATCAAATAAAATAAAATAAAATCATTCTACGAAAACTTATGAAAATAATCAAGATTACTTTTGTTTTTCAGTATGAATATTCGATAATATAAATCTGTTAATTTTTTTAAAAAAATATAAATTTATGAAAATGTTACAATATCTTTGAAGATGGCAATAAAACAATATTTTACCAATCTTTATATATATAGTTATGATTGCAATTATGAAATAATAATCCAAAAATAAATATAGAAGAAGATACAGATACATGTGAAAGTTTCAAACATTTTTTTCAATAAAAAAGATACAATAAAATTATTATGTTTTAAAAATTGATAGACACACTTTATATATATTACAATATATACCAATTTAGAATTGAAAAAAAAAATTATAAAAAATAAATGAAAACAAAAACTTGTCCGGTTGCGCGGGTCGAGATCTAGTATGTCTTAAAGGGTATAATAGCAAAATTATTATGAGTTAAAGACACATAGCTGTCCGGTTAGAACTTTTTTTTTTTTTGAAATTCACATTACTATTTTATTATATGAAATAACATGCTATAAAAAATAGAAAGACCAGATTATTTTTAAATCTATAATTATGTTTTGTCACATATTAAGATGAATAAAATCTTTAAAACTACACAATGACTTAGAAGAACCAATCAAAGATACAGTTCGGAATTTTATACATATAAGCTTTTAGGTTTGATATAAATTAATGTAAATTTGACTGTCTATAACTGAATGTTGTTTTGATTTAATCTGGAGTTTTCTCTTCTTGGAGTTCACATCTCAGGCAAGTCTCCATCAGTAATTTTGGTTTACCGTCAGAGCCTTTAAGCTGAACCCGTCCTCCAGCTCTTACCACTGTGTTGCAACCGCTGCCGTTGAGCCAACCAAGAACCGCCATCTTCACTGCCGCGGTTGTTGAGCCAAGTAAGAATTGCCGTAAGCGTGAGATGCTCGAAAGATCTGTCGGACATAGTCACATCTGATGGTGTCGTTATGCTTGTCCTTGTAAACCACCATCCTTAAAACGATTGAAGATGTAGACTTGTCACCATCATTGGACGGTGTGTGATCGTGGCTGATCGACTGTGGAGTTGCTTAACGTCGAATCCGGCGAAGAAGTGAAGAAATGTGCTAGAGATCTGAATCGATGTTAGATCTCTGGGATTTGGTTTGGTTTTCCGTTGTGGTTAACACATAAAATATGTACATGACGAAGAAAAGATCTGGTGTTGCTTGTTAGCTTCAGTCCAGAGATGAAATCTGTAACATCCCGAGTTGTGATATATAGAAAGGCTTAAAAAGATTGATTTGACTACCTATGTCACCAAAGTGCACTTACCTTTTCGGGAGCACATCCAGAGAGAACTCAAAAGTTAAGTGTGCTTGAGCTGTAGTAGTCAAAGGATGGGTGACCTGTCGGAAAGTGATTTGCTATACCATGTAAGTGAGGCCAAAGCACGGGGAAAGGTAATGTGGTGATTGCAGGGTCAGTAAACATGACTCTAAAACCTTGAAAAAATTAACGGACCGACCGTTGGACGGGATGGAGCCCACGGGTCGAGAGAGCGGGCGTGGGTGGCCCATTAGCCGTGGGCGATCGGGCGTTACAAGTGGTATCAGAGCTGGTTAGCCATCTTAGTTCTGACCTGAGAGGCATCTTGAGACATGTCGTGGAGCGCAACGAGGACGTTGCGTTCTTTGAGAGGGGTGAATTGTAACATCCCGAATTGTGATATATAGAAAGGCTTAAAAGGATTGATTTGACCACCTATGTCACCAAAGTGCACTTACCTTTTCGGGAACACATCCAGAGAGAACTCAAAAGTTAAGCATGCTTGAGCTGGAGTAGTCAAAGTATGGGTGACCTATCGGGAAGTGATTTGCGATACAGTGTAAGTGAGGCCAAAGCACTAGGAAAGGTCATGTGGTGATTACAGGGTCAGTAAACATGACTCTAAAACCTTGGAAAATTAACGTACCGACCGTTGGACGGGATGGGGCCCACGGGTCGAGAGAGCGGGCGTGGATGGGCCATTAGCCGTGGGCGGTCGGGGAGTTACAAAATCATTGGCTACGAAGACAATATCAGATTTGGAGAAATACATGGCCCAATTACATTCAGTTTAGACCCAAATTAAATTAATCTGACAGCCCATGAAAATACTCAAAAAGAAAAACTTAATTTGCAACATGTTGTCACATGTCACGTTTTGTTAAAGTTAAGTAGTGACATGCCAGCTTCATATAATAGAGAAAACTCTACTTTATATAATTAGATTTTCTCATGACAATTCATCAGATGTTGATTTGGATGATTTTTTCTCTGAGTTAAGAATGTTGCAGGTGAGTTATCAGATGAAGCAATGACACCGATTCAGGTTCTTAAGTTGGTAAAACATATGGATTGTTATCCAAATATTGATATTGCTTACCGGATTTTACTAACACGCCTATAACAGTTGTATCAGCTGAAAGAAGTTTCTCTAAATTAAAATTGTTGAAAAATTATTTGAGATCATCAATGTCTCAAAACATGTTGAATAATTTATCAATTTTATGCATTGAAAAATAAATTTTGGAGAGTATAAACTTTGAATTAAGTATCAAGGATTTTGCATCAACTAAAGATTGAAAAAATATTTCAAGTGATTCTTTTTCGTCTCTTAAAAAATTGATACTTTTCTATTTGTCTCAGTTTTTAAAATTCAAGTTAAAAGAAATACGTTGAATAAAAATATATAGAATATATTTATAAAAGGGTATATATTTCGTACTTCACCCATGGCTATGATAATGATTAAGATGGCATTGGCCATAATAAACAATCAGTTCAATTTCAGATATTAGTTGGAAGGCATTCCAAATTTTGATTAAATAGTGTAGTACATTTTCGAACGCCCTAATATGTAATATTAAATCCGTTCCTTTTGTGGTCAACTGAATTAACCAATATGACATACTCCTTCTGTTTCTTTTTATAAGTAGTTTTAGAGAAATGTTTTTGTTTTTTGATAAAAAAAATGTTAAACCCACAAGACACAGACCTAACTTCCGAATGGAGATACAGCCCACGAATAAATCCTCTTATGGGCATTCAAATTGGTCGAAAGCAATAATTCATATCCGTGTGGTCAGTGGGATTTGAACCCGGATTCACCTTATTGGGTTTTTATTTCCTCAAACACAAAGAAATGTTTTTGTTTCAAAATATAAGTAGTTTCAAATATGTAAGTAAATTTTACATTTATTGGATATGGTATGTCCAATCATTAACTTATTTATGATTGGTAGTTATACTTAATTTAATATATCAAATATTACTTTATAAACATTAATAACTTTTTCTTAATAAATGTGAATTCAACAAAAATTACTTATATAAAAAGAAAGGGAAGTATAAAAAATAAACATTTTAGGTCACGGAACGGCCAATAAAATTTCGAGATTTCGTGCAAGAAAACAAGGGTTTCTCGAATTAGACAAAGGGTTGAGATTCTCTGACGAGAGTCTAAATATGAGTTGGCAAATTGACACATGACGATCAACGACAGCGACCTCTCACTCTGACAAGTGGAATTTAATATTTAGGATTCGAATCGGCCATTTTCATGAACGACACTTTACAGTCAATAATTCTAAAACTATCAAAACTTTAATAATTTCATTCTATTAATTACTTATACATTTAACAGTTAGAGCTTTACACACCTGCTCTACGTCTGGGATCATTAACTTAAAATAAAGTAGTAGTAATAAAACTTAATTATAAAAATGAAAAAGAGGATCATTAATGTCTTGATTACAACAGATAAACTAACTGATTACGACTGAGAATGCAAACACGGAATTCAAACGGATTATGTGGAAATCTGGAAAGTTTGAAAACGCGTTTTCTAATTTCTATGGAAAGTTTTGTTTAAATTTTCTACTCAATTAGGAATAATACACCAATCAATCTGTTTTAAAAAAAAAAATCAACTAATTTTCAATTAGTATTAATTTCTATGACTAATTTATTCATTACCAGTTAACATAAAGATTTCTTGCCCTGAATATATTTTAATACATATCATTAGAGATAATATATAAACCAATAAACTCACAAATGCATCACCTCCCGTAGAGACAGCAAGACTGTTCCTGTGTCCTGTCCTGATTCTCTCCTCTTAGATCAAACTTCGATTCTCTTACAAACAAAAAAGAAAATAAGAACAATCTGAGAAAATGGGTGGTCATGGAGAAGGAGTGTCTCTTGAATTCACTCCGACGTGGGTCGTCGCCGGAGTTTGTACGGTAATCGTCGCGATTTCTCTGGCGGTGGAGCGTTTGCTTCACCATTTCGGTACTGTTCTTAAGAAGAAGAAGCAGAAACCTCTTTTCGAAGCTCTTCAAAAGGTTAAAGAAGGTAATCATAATTCTCGGTTTTTTTTCTTCTTATACGTAAAGTGGGTTCCACGAATCTTTATGTTCTTGATTCTTCTGAGGAAAAGAGTTGATGTTGTTAAGTGGGGACAAAAGTGATATGGTTATTACAGATTATAATCTTTGTACCTTTTCTTTTCTTATTGGTTACTTTTGGCTCATTCTTTTTGGATGTGTGATAAATCTTTTTTTTTTTGGGGATTTTTTTTTGTTTCGGCAGAGTTGATGTTGTTAGGGTTCATATCGTTGTTCCTGACGGTAACTCAAGGACTAATCGCCAAGATCTGTGTGAGAGAGGATGTGCTAATGCATATGCTTCCATGTTCAAAACAAGAAGCTGAGTTAAGTAAACACAAAAACGTGACGACAACAGAGCATTTTCAGTCTTTTTTCCCTATTGTTGGGACCACTAGGCGTCTACTAGCTGAACATGCTGCTGCTGCAGCTGGTTACTGTAGTCTTAAGGTAGATATATTTTTTTTTAAAACAATACATCTTTTTTAAGTGTCTGTTTTTTTTTTTGTCAAACATTTAAGTGTGTGTTTATCTTTGCTAATTCTTGGCTTTTCTGTAGGATAAAGTACCGTTGCTTTCGCAAGGGGCGTTGCACCATCTACACATCTTCATCTTTGTACTCGCCATTTCCCATGTGACCTTCTGTGCTCTTACAGTGGTTTTTGGAAGCACTAGGGTGAGCTTGAAAAAAAACTGTATAGTTTTGTCCAGTTAATGCCACCGGTCTCAGGTTGTAAAACCATGAGTTTAATTCATGTATTTCTATGTTATTGCAGATCCACCAATGGAAGAAGTGGGAAGATGCGCTTGCAGATGAGAGTTTTGACCCTGAAGCAGGTACTTGCTTACTCCTTGTGTTATTCATTTTCAGTGAAGATTCTTTGTAAGTAATTGTTTTTTTTTTTGAAACACATAAGTAATTGTTTACATTGTTCCTTTTGCAGCACCTGATAAGAATAGGCTGACTCATGTACACCAACATGCTTTTATTAAAGAGCATTTTCTCGGTATTGGCAAAGATTCAGTCTTCCTCGGATGGACGGTAAGGTTATTTCTATAAATTAAATCTCTTTTTGAACTACATAGTGGATGCTGAGGTTATGTCTTTTCTACATGGCAGCAATCATTCTTCAAGCAATTCTATGGATCTGTGACGAAAGCAGATTACGTGACTCTGCGCCTTGGTTTCATTATGGTAAAAAATTTGTAAACTAAAGCTTTGGATTTGAATCATTTTAGACTAAAGATCTGTTTTGGTAATATCTACCTACTACAGACGCATTGTAAAGGAAATCCAAAGCTTAACTTCCACAAGTACATGATGAGAGCTCTTGAGGATGATTTCAAACATGTTGTTGGTATTAGTTGGTATCTTTGGATCTTCGTGGTCATCTTCTTGCTTCTTAATGTTAATGGTAATACTTCACTAAACATAAGTCTTTTTCAATCTTTAGTTAACATAGAATATATTGAAGCTATATTTCTGTATTCTTGCAGGATGGCACACATATTTCTGGATAGCATTCATTCCCTTCATCGTGAGTAATTTTGTAGTATATTGTTTTATTTGAATCTTCTTCTTTTTTCAACTAAACGTGTGTCGTCCCTTTCTTGTGAAGCTGCTTCTTGCCGTGGGAACAAAGCTGGAGCATGTGATATCACAGTTAGCTCACGAAGTTGCAGAGAAACATGTAGCAATTGAAGGAGACTTAGTGGTGAAACCATCAGATGAGCATTTCTGGTTCAGCAAACCTGAGTTTGTTCTCTTCTTGATTCATTTCATCCTCTTCCAGAATGCTTTCGAGATTGCCTTCTTCTTTTGGATTTGGGTAAAATGTCAAAAAGTTCTCTTGATGGATAAAAAAAACAACATTTCACCTGAGCATGGTCTAAGTGTATATTTTGTAGGTTACGTTCGGCTTTGATTCATGCATTATGGGACAAGTGAGATACATTGTTCCTAGATTGTTGATTGGGTAAGTGATAAGTTTAGATTTGTTTTGCTTTTTTTATTTCATTTTATCTTCATTTAACATGTCTTTATCTTCTTTCTCTGTAGAGTCTTCATTCAAGTGCTTTGCAGTTATAGTACACTGCCTCTTTACGCCATTGTCTCACAGGTAACAAAAAGCTACAGGCTTTATCTCGAATTCTTGTCTGAAATAGATAACTGATCCAAGTCTTATGTAATTTACCAACAGATGGGAAGTAACTACAAGAAAGCCATCTTTGAGGAGAATGTGCAGGTTGGTCTTGTTGGTTGGGCACAGAAAGTGAGGAACAAGAGAGCTGGTAATGGGACCGAAGGTAGCTCTAAGCCTGGTACTAGTCCTGGTGCTGGTGCTGCTTCTGCTGCTACTCCTGGTGCTGGTGCAGGTGCTGGCGCAGGTTTTGCAGGAATTCAGCTCAGTAGATTAACAAGAAACAACGCTGGGGAGACGAAACAAAATGAGATTACACCTGCTCATGACAACCGTTGATTAGAGATAGAAAACTTTATCTTCCTTATTAGTCAGAGTTAGCTTCCATATCCTGTTATGTTGCTGCTATACATAGAAGCTACAGTGACTTGATTTTATTTTATTTTGGTTACAATCTTTTTTTTTTTTGCATTAGAATTGGGAACTGAATCTATTTGTATATACAAATGATATGGAACATTATAGCCGTCTGTTGTTCAACGTAGAATTTCGGAACAGTTATTTTGGTTTATGAAATATAGGAACCAAATATTGCTTTGTAGGGGTGGGCGGGTGTCCGTTCGGATTTGGGTCGGTATTTCAGGTTTTCGAGTATTTCGATATTGAGGTTTAGAACCGGTTCAGGTATTTTTTACATATTGGGTCGGGTACATATATTTTTAGTTCGGGTTCGGTTATTTTGGGTTGTATTCGGATATTTAGATTTTGAAAGAAAAATTTCAAATGCTTTATTACTTAAGTTTCATGTATTTAAAATCTAACTATTAACTTAACTGTTTTAAAATGTTTAATAAATTATACGATTAATAAGTTTGAAAATAAAAATCATTATTTTGGTTGTTATTTTCGAATTTTGGATGCAAATTTTGTTTAAAATATGAAATAAAAAGTTTAATATGCATTTTAAATGAGTAACAAATCAATTTTTTTACAATTATATGTATATTATTTGATATTAAACTATATGTAACATTAATATAAATATTTTTAATAAAATGAGACAAATAAACTAGGAATAAATAGGTATATATATACATATGTTTGGCTATCTTCGGATACCCCTTTCGGTTTCGGATACTACCCGTTCGGGTTCGGATATCCAAACTCTTCTAACTCAATACCTGTTCGGATATTTTGCTACTTCGGTTCAGATTTCGATTCAGATGGTCGGATTCGGGTACGAGTTCGGATATCGGATAAAATGCTCACCCCTATTGCTTTGTCTTCACTAAAACTATAAGTTCTGATTTTTTTCGGGTATCGGATAAAGTGTCCACCCGTATTGCTTTGTCTTCACTAAAACTGTAAGTTCTGATCTGTCTCTTTGAATACACGGTGGCTGTTCTCTTTGATTTAAATGCAAAAGAACCAGATGGTGAAAAAAAAGAACCAGATGGTGTTACCACTGCGTCATAATAAGATGAACATCCATCTCCAAGTAAAAAAAAGAAATCAGGAGTTATACATTATTGAAAAATTAATGGGTGCCGAAGGAGAAAATAAAAGAATGTAAATGCCAAAAAACAAACAAGTGAAATGATAAGAGGCCCAGGGGAGCTTGAAGACTGCATATGTTTTAACGCTGTGAGACAGACTCGGCAGAGAAGAGGTACTTGACACGGGAGAGGACAGAATCATGAGCAGGATCATAGGGATGGTCCTTGGAAGGGATCTCCAGGATTGCAGGAACTGGCTTGTTGTAGCTGTTCACCAAGAACCTGATCATATTGGCAACCTACACGCATGGAACCTGATCATATATTCACACATTTGGATCCAATAATAATTGCTGGGAACAAGATAGCAAAAAGTACCCTACAATAAAAGTTACTTTGTTCCATGGTTTTTTAAAGGTGCAAAAGCAAGAAAGGTATTCAAGAATGGGCAGTAAACAATAGGGAATCAATAAAATGGAGTAGTAGTACAAGCCAATGGACTATTTGACAAGGAAACAAAATAGCACCGCATAGAAACAGTATAACAGGACAAGTATTAAGTATAGTGGAGTTGGAAGAAAGGACTTTTACATATTGGCTGATGAGGATAATAGCAATATCATCTCTAGATGAGAATTCCTTGAAAGCATCCTCAATTTGTCGCACGGTTGTCTCTACAACACACACACAACAAAAAAGGAATCAATTATTTTAGACGGTGAGTTATACAATTTCTTCAGAAATAGAAGGTAGGAAAGTTATCTCCAATCAAAACACTATGAACTGACTCTGATGGAAAAAAATCAACTACATATGTGGGTCGAAATGAAATTTTTTAACCTATTCACTACAGTAATAACATTGAAAGTACATCTAAAAGCTACTAATATTTATAGATTTCACATGGGTCAATTGACCACCCTCTCCAATGTAGTGACATAACTTGTTTTTCATGAACGAGAAATAAATATAATATTTGGTAGAGATTGTAAGAGAAAAGGCATACATACTGGAATCAACGATGAGGTAAGTAGTCTTCCTCCTGATGTCGACATTACCAACTCCAGCCATTAAAAATCCAACTACGGTGTCTGTACCCACACAAACAACAACAACAACATTTGAGTAAGAGACGTTGGTGATCTTCTTACCAAGGGATAGTTTCAAACAAGATCTCTCAGTCTATGTCTTGATGCAAGTTAAGTCTTCGATAAAAATACCAATGAGAAGAGACTTAAAAGAAGATTTCTGTGGGTCTGATCCAAAATGGATAACTAGGAAACTGATATCTAGACTAAGGGATCGAACACGAAATCCAAAGACTAAAGTAAAATCAATTTAATTTATTAATTTACAGATTGAAAGATCTTTCACCGACAAGGCATTAACAGATCACATTCTCAGACCATATGAAAGTCGTCAAAACAGTTTCAAATGAATCTTACCTCATTGGCGATCATAGCGATGAGGGCAGAGTTGCGAGAAGGTATAGAAGCTCTCCCAGCCATATTGATTCTCAACCTCTTCTACACGCATTATCCAGAAGAAAAAAAATCAATCAAGCAACGTCAATAATCGAAATTGGGTTAGCTCCCTGGTAATCAGTAGACTAGGGCTGGGATTATTATCCGGGATCCGATCTGAGAACCGCTCCGCTCCGATCCGAAATTTAGGGTATCTGGGTAGTCTGAATCCGGATCCGAATAATAGAATGACAGATTCGGCGGATCCGGATCCGGGTAATAAAGTAATTTAAAGTCGGATATCCGAGATTCGTAACTCTATTCACATGTATAAGACTAAAACCCAATAAAAACAAAGCCCATTTTGTAACTTGCAATGTAATTAGTGTATATAAAGCCCAATCTGGAAATTTAATAAAAATAATTAGAAAAATTCAGCCCAATAAATATAAAATATCTCAACTACTCTCGTGTCTTGTACTCTTTTCCCTCACGAACTAAATATCCTAAATCCCTAAAACTTATAATCTTTATTCTGACATCTTTCAATCCCTAAATCCGATCACTTTCTTTCTTGTGTAGTTGTGTCTTGGATACCAACTTTCTAATCTTTAGAACTTGTCGAGAGTTGAGACTCATCTAAGTCTCTTTAGTGTTGTAAGGTAATTTATTGTCTATTTTAACTAAAATTTCTCTATAGTTCGTGTGAATTTTTTCTGTAAGTGATTTTTTATATTATTCTATAGGAAATGGAATATTGAAACATGATTGTTTGTCTTATTCTTGTAGTGCTCGTATATTTATAATAAACTAGTTTTTCTTTGTATAGATGGAATCTACAGAAGATGATGGTATAAAACCCACAACAAATTGTGGGGTTGCTGCTGAAAGCTCTAGACCAGAAACTCAAAAGAAACCCCAAGAGACTGAATCCTCAACAACTTCTGAGGTACCAAAAAACACATCTAAAGTTTGGTTGCATTTTAAGAAGTCTGATAAAGTTCATGGCAAGGCTAAGTGTTGCACTGCTCTCAGTTGATTAGTTGTAGAACTGCTACTGGTTCCACAACTAGCGCAATGTTAAAACATATGCAAAGTTGCAAACAGTAGCTAAAGATTGCTTGGTTGATTTTGAGGAAGAAAGGAGCAAACTTAGAAACTTTTTTAGGAACTATAAAGGAAGTATTTCTCTGACTACGGATTGATGGACATCCATTTAAAATGAGCTACATGTGCTTGACAGCTCATTATATTGATGGAAGTTGGAAGCTACACAAAAGAATCATCAATTTCTGCATAGTTGATAATCATGTTGGCGAAACAATTGGTAAAATGGTTGAAAAGTGTTTGGTTTTGGGGAATTAGTAAAGTGTTCACCATTATAGTAGATAACGCTAATTCCAACAATCTCGCAATAAAGTACTTGAAAAGAAAGTTAACTTCATGGGGGAACAAGTGTTTTGGATGCGGAGTTCTTTCATATGCGTTGTGGTGCCCATATTCTGGGTTTGATTGTGAGAGATGATCTTAAGGAAGAGCATCATACAGTTTTGAAAATCCGAGCAGCTGTTAAGTATGTTCGTTCTTCTCCTAATAGGCTGAAGAGGTTTAAAGAGTGTTTGGAGATTCAAAAGGTTGAATGCAAAGCTGGTTTGAGCTTAGATGTTGAAACGAGACGGAGAACTCTACTTTTCTGATGCTACAATATGCTGTGGAACTGAAGAAAGGATTTGATATGCTAGAGCTAGAAGATGATAAGTATGTGTCAGAACTTATCAAGAGTTGTGGTGGTACACCTAGCTATGCTGATTGTTGTTACATTAGTGCTTTGTCGTTCATCTTACAGTATTTTTATGATGCTACTGTGAACATTCTGGTTCTAAATATGTGACTGGTAATACATATATGAAAGAGATTTTTGGAGTGGGTTGGATGATCACGAAAATGGGCATGATGGAGGATGGATACAAGAGAGCTATGTCTAAGAAGATGAAACTCAAGTTCTATAAGTACTGGGGAAATTTTAACAATACAAATATGTTGATTTATGTTGCTGCAGCACTTGATCCCCGGTACAAGATGAAATGGGTGAAGTGGATGATTGAAGGAACTTATCCAGCACCTGAAGCTAGCTGTTTTATTAAGAAGATCACAAATGCGATGGAAAAATTATTTAAATATTATAAATCAGAGTTAGAGTCACAAGAGTCATTGGAATATCCTCAAAAGAAAGGGAAATCAGCCTCAAGTTCTAAGGAAAAGGAGAAAAGACATTCACTGATGGACGCCATGTTTGATGATGCTGAAGAGAGCAAAGAGAGTGAGGCTGGAAAAACAGAGCTGGAATATTATCTGGATGATGCTCGTGAAGATAGAAAGAATCCAAGCTTTGATATATTACATTGGTGGAGAGTAACATGTTCTAAATATAAAGTTGTATCAATGATGGCGAGAGATTTGCTTGCTGTACATGTGTCAACTGTTGCATCAGAATCTGCATTTAGTGCAGGGGATCGGGTACTAGATCGCTTTCGTAGTTCATTAACACCACGTACCGTTGAAGCTCTCATTTGCACTCAGGATTGGTATCGTGATGATGATGAAGACTTAAATGCAGAAGAATTGCTAGCTGAGCTTGAGACTATTGAATCAGGTATTCATGTTCTATTTTATTTTTTGTTCTAATGTATTTTGAAAGCTTTATTATTTAGTAATGTTTGTTTTCTCTTATAGAAGTGGAGACTTTGCAGATTCATACTTGAACGAGTGTGTGCAACATGGGTAAGGTACAAATGAAAAAATAAAATCAGTTAAAATGGTAGATATTTGCAAATTACGTTACATAAGAAGAATCACTTTGACAATAGACTTAGATCACAGTTACTGATTTTGTCTTTCTTTGTGGTCTGTATATATTTAACTAATATGAAACTCATATTTCAGATTATGAGGGAAGACTTTTGAAGATAAATGGACTTGGAGGAAACACTCTACTTGAATATTTGATCAAATCTTTTTCTACGTGGTCATTTTTTGATTGGTGATGTATTAAAGATGCTTGGAATGTTATTTTGTCGTCCATTTATCATATTTTGTTGTAAGAAAATTAAGATTTCATACTTTAAAATATTACAGGTAAAAATTCGGGTCGGATATCCGAGTACTCACGGATATGTGGAATATCTACGGATATCCGCTACTCTGGATATCCGGGTATTCGGATCCGGATAATAAAATAACGGATCCGACGGATCCAGATCCGAATCCGGATACTTGAATTTTCTCGGATATCCGGATCCGTCCCAGGCCTAATCAGTAGCAAAGACAACAACAATCACCTCCCCCAACAAAAAAGGATTAATTGACTATATTACCCCTGTTATATATTCTCAAAAAAAAGTGCGCTCGAGTAGTGAAAACGACATAAGAGCAACTCCATTTCTGAACCTCTAAGTATGGTTCTTAGCATTTTGTTTTAATTATTTTAATTAATTTTGGAAAGTTAAGAACTTTCAATATTTTGGGTGTCCATTGGTGAACAATACTCATAGAATAAGAGTTGTTAGCAATACTCATAGCCTTGGCGAAGTTTGTGCTTTCAACGCTGCTGTTGTGTGGGCTGACGTTGGTGCTAGGAGATAGAGAAGCTTCCCAAACACATTCCTTGTCTGAATCTGGTGGTAGTAGAGAGTTATCTGTGTTCTGTGACGCATGAGCTAAAGAGAATGGAGATAAAGATGTGGCATCAGGTTTGGTGTTTTCGCTGATGGTAGGAACATAAACAGTTGTTATGGGGTCCATGTCTTCTGGTTTTGGAGGATGACTAACACCACGGAAGGAGCTAGAACCAGCTTCTTCTGACATATCATTGCTTCCTTTTTCATCATCAGCAGCTACGATCTCTTCAATCTCCAGCAGAGGATACTTTGCGTTCATTGTTGTTAACCTTACCACAGGTTCAAACTCTTGAAACTCATCAAGGTTACCACCAAACATCATCATCTCATCTCTGTGTACATTAAGAACTAAGCCAAGTTCTCTCCCTAATGTCGTAGTTGGACTCATTGGTCTTCCTCCTGTGTTGTTTTTGTATTGAACAGCTCATTCCCTCAAATACATAGCAGTATCTCAACTTTTCAAGTCTAAGTATTGTCTTCTTGAGACATGACCTATACTAGGAAGTCTCTTAAGCTCAGAAACTAGACGAACTCGCCCAGGCAGTTCGATCTCTGGTCCAGCTCTACAAACTGAACTACGTTCGAATTGATCCTTGAAAGGGGTACGTAAGCAGCCTTTCATAAGGTTCAGTCCAAAATCAATCAAACCCTTTTTCTTATCTTTTTCCGTCTTTCGTTATCAAGCTGCGACTCGACTAGATTTAGGGTATTATGTTGGTAACTTGCTGATGGCCCGTGCGGCCAAAACCATTGTAATTCCCTGTAATGATTCCGACGCTCTTACGCGAATCGGAAATAAGATCGACTTTCTTTATGAATTCGTTTTATAACGTTTTTTCATATTTTTCCGCATTTATTTGGTTACTTGTCGTTGGATTTCGCAGAGATCCGGTTCTTCTAGAAAATTAGGGTTTTCCTAAGTTTCCTTATTACGGAAATCGACAGTAGGTGAATTTTGGTTCCCACCGTTTGGCGTTAGAAGGAGGGGGGGTCGGATTACTCTTACTCATAGCCGTAAAAATACTGGTAAAACAACTCTACAGATAGCCAACGCTCACAAAAAAGATGTAGTAATTAACAAAATCGAAAACTTAATTACGACTCTTCACCACGGAAAGACACGAAACGAGCTCGCGATTTCTCCGTCTAAACAAAAGGGCAACGATAAAACCAATCAAACCCCGTAACCAAATTGGAGAAATCTCAACGTGTGAAAGTTTGACCAGCTCGCCCAATGGCGAGTTGGACACGATTCTAAGGATCCTAAGCCTGATCCTATTCCAATCTCGATCGTACAGCTTTTCGTTTCGCCTCAATCGGACTTTCCGCTGAGATTCTACGACGAAAACAAGTCAACTCGACGAATCGAGATTATCCGCACCAAGCAGTTCAGTTCGCCATACGGCGAGCTGAACCAAGTAGTTTCAATTCGCCATACGGCGAGCTGAACCAAGCATCTCAGCTCGTCGTACGGCGAGCTGAACCAAGCAGCTCAGCTCAGCTCACCGAGAGGA